TATATATATATATATACATTATAAATATTTTAAGCTTGAAATTTGACATATTCATAGTCTTTATGATTTTTTTTTTGTTTAGTTATATTCCGTAATAGAGCCATACACACACACACACACACACACACACACACACACACAGTGAGAAATAACAATTAAATCGATATTGATTTGATGTCGAGACCATTGTCATTTCTCACTAGGCATATCTACTGTTAATATGTTACCTCTAGAAATTTCTGTGGCTGCATAGTTCAACATACGATTTGTGTACATAGAGATGTTACTAAACGGAGATTTGTTTAAAACGCGGGATACGCCCTCTCTACTCCGCTTCATTCTCCGATTTTTTTCTGGAGTAAACTGAACTATCGTGACATTTCTGACTAGAGGTAGTCGTAGTATGGTGGAATCAGCATTGCGCATGATTGTGCAAGGAGGGGGCGAATTTTGACCAATCAAATGCTATCAGCATGTCACTGCCTATTGCGCATCCTTTGGAATGCTTCATCAGATCGTAGTCGTGAAATAATAATCATTGATCGCTTCATCGCTCTTGTTGTTTCGGTTGCATCGTTGAATTAAAGGTGCAATTTCAATGCGTCATCAGTGATATTATATATTCATCATGTCTGCTACGGCTGTACATAAATTTGTAACTTTTGTAGGATTTATGTTTATATTACATGCAGCTTATTCTGCGGCACAACGTGAGTACCTGCATATTATTCTTTTATTTTATCAGTTTATTACTTTCTTAGGTTAGAACTGATATTAATATTATGATGAAATTATATCGTTTGTTTTTGCTTGGCATTTTACACTTGGAGTAAAATAAGATAAAAGTCAAATCAAATTTCTGAGATGAAAATGGACAGTGTAATCAAAATGAATAATCGAAACTTGGTTTTTTATAGATCGTTCCTATTTGCGAATCACTGAACAAGAGTTTACTACTTTGCCAATTGACGTAAGTTATGATTCATGATATTTGCTTCCCATGTAGAAAGCTAAAAGTTTTATTTCTGTATAAAATATTCTATAAATTCAAGCAAGCTGATAGGATCTAAGAACGTTACATGTTAAGAGGATGTGTTTTGCTGTTGCTATAGATTTTAATCCAAGGTATAGCCAGTTTATTTATCGTTATGTACGGCGTTATGTACATTGCTGGCGATTTCAAAGAAATCCGAGCAGTTGTCGATTTGGAGAATAAATCTTGGGAGACGCTACGGAATCTACCATCCTTTCAAGTATTTAATCATCGTGGAAGATCTCTGTCACCAGAATATATCTCTGAGTAAAAATAGTATATTTTGATATCAAATCATTGAAAAAGATAATAGATACTACATTATTTATATTATTTGTTAATATCTAAATTTGTATTTAAAATAGCAAAGATCTATTGAAATTTAGTATTATCAATTAATGTAATTTATATTTGTTTTGTATTAAAATAAATAATTTATCACTTAAAAAAAATCAAGTTACGTATAAAGTGAAAGCATTAACAAAATAATCTGATATATACATTGATATGAAATGTAATTATTTATTGCTGAAAAGCAACTTGTAGTAGATTGTGATCTTTGTCTTCATAATATCAATCTACAGTCTTATCAAATTCAAAACATGCGGCAAATAGTTTTGTATACACGTTTTACACAATTGTGTGACAGTAAATAGTATGAATAAAAAAAGGCTCAGTTTTTCTTATCGTATTTTTCATTTGTATGTTTTTCTTCTCTATTTCTTTCCAATATAATTATTTTATAAGAAAAATTAATTAATAATAATATAGTAAAAGTGCATAATAGAACACAAGACATCACTTTTTCTGTTTCTTCTTTTCCGCCTCTGCTTCCTTTTCTCTTTCGAT